TTAAAAAAATGGAGGTGCAAGATTTTACTTCCCTGTTTCCTGATTTTGAAATAAACAAGAGATTGAGATGATAACTTTGGAGAGCTGGGCTTCAAATTCTGCCTTGGATTGCCATAAAAGACAAGGCTTGTTGATGTCAACCTAATCCCAATTTTTTTCCACATTACAAACCACATTGTCAGCCTTGTCTTAGGGAAAATTTAAGAGTAAATCTGGAGACATTAAAGGCCAGGACTGAAGTTCATGACAATTGTGTGGGAGAAGCTTGCACACCATCTGCCTGTACTATACTTGACACAGCACTGTAGCTATTATTTCCTTACTTTCACAAATACTAAACACACATGCACACTCAAAGTAAAAAACTGAAATAACACAAAACTGTTACTGATTTTCAGCATTTTTGAAGGAAAGATATTTTTGTGTCACAAACCAGTTATCTTTTCCTGTAACTTATTAAATATGAAATACAACCCTGCTTTATTATACTGCATTTGTTACTAAATAGGGGAGAGCATCTATAACAGTAAAATGAATGAAAAGAGTTCTTCAGAGTGGCAGAAGTTCAGGTCGATGGCAGTAGCCAAACATGGACCATTAATGAAATTATACAGTGAGTTAAAAAGGTCATTACTAGTGTGGCATGAACCTATAATGTATAGGTTCGCCTTCCAAATAAACTGCCAAAGTAAATTCATACCGAGTGATCTCACTTGCAGATTGATCCTCTTGTTGGATTTCAGAAGTATCTCCATTATTAAGTGACTCAGTGAGGCTGGCAAGGGATGTTACAACATTTGCCAGTGTTCCTAAAGCACCCTGACTTGTCTCAGCCTACAAAAAAAGAAACCATATTAATGGATCAAAATTATATATAGTTAGGTGAAATGCTGTATGTAATGTAATCACTTCATAATTATTAAATCCTCTGTATCTCCTTCTTCTGTTCTCATATAGGTTTCACTTCCTCCTGAATATCGACAGTGAAGGACAGTGGTTGACATTTGGGTAAGGGTGATCATTAAATTCTCCAAAACCTTCCCTCCTGACTTCTGGTGGGTTTTTTTGTGATGGATCAACTACAGGGTTATCAACCTAAATTCATGCATAATTATATCTGGGGGGGAAAAGTATGTCTCCTTGAATCAGGTATGTTGAAGATGGAAAAGATCATCTAGATCAGTGGTTCTCAAACTAGGGCCGCCGCTTGTTCAGGGAAAGCCCCTGGTGGGCCAGGCCAGTTTGTTTACCTGCCACGTCCGCAGGTTCGGCTGATCACGGCTCCCACTGGCTGCGGTTCACCGCTCCAGGCCAATGGGGGCTGCAGGAAGGGTGGCCAGCATGTCCCTCAGCCCGCGCCGCTTCCCACAGCCCCCATTGGCCTGGAGCGGCGAACTGTGGCCAGTGGGAGCCGCGATCGGCTGAACCTGCGGACGTGGCAGGTAAACAAACTGGCCCGGCCCGCCAGGGGCTTTCCCTACACAAGCGGCGGCCCTAGTTTGAGAACCACTGTTCTAGATCATCCATTCTATCTCTCCCAAAATATAGGATTTGTTTCAGCGCACGGTGGTATTATTATCTCAAGCTACATGTTACAGAAAGGCAACAACAACCTCAGGGCTGCCTGCAGCAGCCTCCCCACTCCATCTTCCTCCTCAGGGGACAATAATCAGTGAGTGAATCCCCACAGACAGAGCCACTAGACCTGCCCTCCTTTGCACTTGTGGCACTGTGGTGGTCTCTCCAATTTCTAATGCCCTCTACCCCTTTGCAGTGGAACAGCAACCGTTTGGCTGAGGTAAGGACCTTTTGTGACTGCAAAGGGGTCAGAAGGATTTCTTTTTAAAAACATACATTTTATTTACTAAATTATTTTGGGTAAGATTTGTAATAAAATGAAAGGAATATTACCTTGGAGTCTGTAGCTAGCAGGACTGTACCATCATCCCGTATCAATGGCTGCTGAATATTCACAAGCATTCCTGGATCAAGAAGACCCGTTGACCTGTTCAGACATGTAAAGAATCTAAGAGTGAACCTATTTCAGTGCAGTATAATGAGGATTACTCTTACTGGGCTTTCCATTTTGTGATGTTGAGAATTTATCCATCAGAATTTGGTCCTGCTGAAAACTATTTCCAAAAAATAATTTGTGTCCTGGAAGAAACTGCACTTTAACTGGAGGGTTGGTGATTTTGCCACTGCAAATGAATGCCTTTCTTTCTTTTGCTAAAGTGCTGGTGATTTCTCAACCTGATTTTCCTCTCATTAGCTTTTTGATTTGATTTCTTCTGTCATGCTGGCAGGTGTCATCTTCTTCATTACAACCAGTAAGCCATTATTAGCTATGTAAATTTGCATGGCACTTTACAGAGGATCATGCCCCAAGTAAATGGCATTCCAAGTGAGACAGGGCAAAGACAAGGATCACATCAGATGAAGAAGTGAGATAAAGAAAGAACAATGTTTACATAAAACCACATATCCCAATTTTACTTCAAACTTTGTCCTGCTCTTACCATGCCCCTTGTCTAATGTTCTTTCTCCCTTTTCCATACATAACTTAGGGCCGGATCTGTGAAGTGCTTTGTAGTCAATATGTATAATTATGATGTATTTGTTATTTATATAGCATGATAGGTTTGCATGGCACAATATAGATGAATAATGCATGACAGATTCAGGCCTCAGGGAGTTTATCATCTCAGGGCCTGGCACTGAAATGGTAAACTTCCTGAGGCAGGAACTTGTCATGCATTATTCAACTGTGTTATGTCATGGAAATGTATGGTTCTATATAAATAACAAATACATGATATTAATAATAATACTTATTGATTATAATGTGGTTATTAGGGTTGTGAAGGAGAACACATCTTGCATGTGCAACAGAAAAAAAATATAAAAGAACAAAATGTGTTTGACCACAGTATTTATCAGACACTTAGTTTCATACATAACACAAATGCAAATATTTAGCAGCAAATTTTCAAAGGAGTTTCCAGTCCAGCCTTCCAAACTGCTATGGCATTTTTATTTGAAGTCATTGCATATGTGCATCAGATATTCAGACTCCTAAATGCCTCAATTCTTATTGCAAATACTATCTGCACATATTAATTGTGCTCTAGAACACACAAAACTTGTACCAGAAAAAATTGTGCATACAATTGTGTCTATTTTTGAAAATGTGGCCTTTAAGCTAGATTGCTATTTTCTATGTTAGGATATATAGTATTCATTACTATTGTATCCAAATGTATTTCCATGCCCATTTGTTTGGAAATATCTGAACCCTCAAAGAATAACCACCATCATGTAAGAAGGAAACTTCCATTCTAGAATTTAAAAAGAGGCCATACTTTTGGGGCCTGATCCTACATCCCCCCGGAGTTCATTGTTTATAAAACTGACTCCACAAGACTCTAGTCTGAAGGCATCTTAAACAGACCCATTTTACACCTAAAAACTTACCGGGCACCATCTTTATCTGCTACAAATGTTGGAGTTGCTATGAGAGGGCTTCTTAGGTCTTTCCTGATATAGATTTTTTCAGTTGAAGCTGCACAGTTGGTTGGTTTCTCCCGTTGCACATCAAAAGGCTTTCTTTCACTCTGAACCGCTTCATCAGAATAGAAAAATACAGATTTGAAAGGAAATAATTCATCCAAAAACTAAAGTAAAGGAAAATCTTAAAGCAAGATTTCAGTTTGCATGAAATGTGTTGGCTCATTTCAGTTCAATGCAATATTGGAAATTCAGTATGATAACTGAAGAGACATAGGTCCCAGTGTTGCAATGCACTTAATCACATGTTTATTAAATAAGAAATCAATGGGACTAATCATAGTCTTAAATGGGATTGGGGTAAGAGCTTGCTACTGCATTGCATTTAACCAAGTTAAGCATTCAGGAAGACACATTTTCACACTATGATTTTGAGGAAAGGAATATGTAGATTTTAGACCAATGATATTTCTTGAACATTTTATTTAAAAAATCAATGCTAAAATTCATAGCAGGACAGGCAGGCTAAGAGGAAATGTTTGCACTGCTATATGGCAGAAGAGCGTTTAATGTCTAGGCACAGTGGATCTGTAAATGATTTAAAGGTAATGCACACATCTAGCCAGTTAAGAAGGTCTAGTGGGCTCCTAAAAAAAATCTCTCCAGGATTAAAAATACCTCCAGTTTTAAAGTGTAGGGAAAAAGGCTTATTGTTCAAAGTTCTAAAAGGGATATGGATGTATCTCAAGCAAAAGAATCAGAAAACGACATTAATGTTGTGATTTTAAAGAAAATGAAATTTATTCCCCTGAAATATTGGGTCATCATAGTTGAGTGGACTATGCATGGGACTGGCAGGCATGAACTCCTGCCACTAATTTGCAGTGTGGCTTTGGGCAAGTCATTTAACTACATGGTGCTCACTTGAAAAATGTTCTCAAAAATTGGGATATTAAAACTGATATTCTTCGCAAGGGTGTTGTGAGAATTATTTAATGTTTGTACAACACTATATATACATATAGTGCACAATATAAAATATAAACCACTATATAAGTTCAGAGCATTACTCTAGTATTATTGTACCAGTCATACATTCATACAGCAATCAGCTATAAAGCAGTTCTTCTTCATGGCCTCATGAATCTAACTTTCTTCCACCTAGCCTTCCCACCTTAACAAAAATAAAATTTAGAAATAAAAAAAAATTCCCCACTGACTGGGGATGGAGAGAAAATTATCCTAATGTTTGTTAGCAATCATACGGCCCTGAAACTAGGTTATGAACATGATATATATACTGTACTTTGTATAGAAAGGATTTGCTGTATTGTTTATTAACATTGGATTAAGTTCAATGATTGCCAGTGCAAATAATTCACACTTATTAACCAAAAGCCTGATCCAGTGTCCACTGACATCAATGGGAATCTTTTCAACTGATCACAGTGGACCCTGGATCAACCTCTAGAAATGCAGCAGCATCTGCAGTTTGCCACTAAAAATGGCATTGGGACATTTTAAACTGCCAGCTCAAAAGAGCCCTACAGCTGGCACAGCTTGCCATGGGAGGCCCATCCCAAGGTAGAAGGATCCTGTTATGGTGTATAGCTAGCATAATAGCTTCTCTGCCACCTGTGTCTGGCATAGAGGGCATTGCCAGTGATAAGGCAGTGGCTGGTGCTTCCCTATGCCTCAGAGATCCCAGATGGTGTAACAGCCCTTTAGGCCCACTGGCAGGTAGAGAAATTCAGAGCAGTTTTCAGATAGTTCTAATTTACATGGAGGGGGAGACTGGCACACAATTAGCCCAGGACCAAGAGAACACAAAGATGTCTTAAAGACATCTTTGCACCTCCCTCTTAAGCTGCATTGTATACTCTTTGATGACAGCCTTTGACTCCAGGTACTTTAGAGTTAAATAATATTCACAATAAAATAATCCCAAACTTGTAAAGAAGGTATTGGAATAATATTTGCAATGAATATAAAACGTAGCTTTATGTCTTTCCTTTTAATAAAACAAATTTGGGGTAAGTACAGTGTTATGCAATAGTATGCCACAAAGGTAGAAAACATTGCACTTCATCTCACAGAACATAACATGCCTTATTTAATGGGAAATCTGCACCAAGTGGGATTTATGGTACATTATTCTATAACAGGAGAAATAAGCCCTAAATCTGACAGCAAAACAAATCTATCCATACACAAGAAGTTATTCCAAAATGAGGCCAGAGAGTTTCAGAAGGGACCAGTACATCATCTTGTCTGACCTCCTGTATATCACAAGCCACCAACACCACCCAACATCCACACACTAAACCCAACAACCAAAACTAGACCAAAGCATTACAACCCACAGGAAACCACACAAACATGTGCCACAGGCAGAAAATAGGAGTGTCATTCTCCATTACAAACACTGTACTTGGAAAATGCACTAAAAGTGAGGTTCTATATATCCCTTCTTAGGGGATGTGATATAATATCACACATAAGAGATTGATTTCAAAGTTATTCATCGCTGTAGCTTGAACTTCCTCTACAAAAGTGAACCAAATAACAGGTTTAGAGAAGAAAATGTGAGGCAGATATTTGGGATGACAAAAATTCTGTAACAAAGATACTTCTTGATCTGTATTTAAGAGAGTATTGCAGATGTCTTAGAACTTGGTGTTTCACATGGACAAAGATAGAAAACTGAAAATATATTTAACTGTACTGATCATCTACATATTTATTACTTGATAGACAAAGTATCAGTTTGGGTAATGAACACTCACATTCCATTTTCATGCCCATCTCTAGGCATTTCTTAAGCCTACAAAACTGGCAACGATTCCGATGGTGTTTATTGATGATACAGTCCTGGTTGCTACGACAACTGTAGGTCAAATTCTTCCTTACACTCCTTTTAAAGAAACCTTTGCATCCCTCGCAACTGACAGCGCCATAGTGACGACCTAAAGGAAAAGGGAATGCATGTGCAGCTCGGTTACCACAAGGAAATGATTTATATTTTTAATACCAACATTTTATTTATAGCAGGCAGAGCCTATTGACAAATCACACCTTGATTTGTTTTATATTCCTGGTTATTCCTCATATCTGCAGGCACTGATGGTGAAAGCACTATTCTAGTCTGATGTCATAGTTTTGTTTTGCGTTTCTTTCAGGAGATCCTCCAAGATCAGCCCATTTCCCACCATCCTTGAAGAGTATGCATAACGCAAACACCAACTTCAGCCCAGGACTAATGGTTCCTCTTGGAGTCCATCAGTGTAGCTACATAATTGCTAATGAAGTCACATGCATGGATACAAAATATATAAAGGGTATTACATGCAAAAATGACATTAAAAGAATATTAAAGTTGCAAGTCAATCACTCAAAACATAGGAAATTCCAGAATAAAGGTTGTCCAGGCGACATTAATTCAGACCCCTTTGCGTATGCATTATGATACTATCTTTAATTACATGATCACATACTACTTTTTTCACAGGACCCCACCTCATTTAGTGCGTTGAATGGATGGAAAGTGCTCACTGACCAGTTGAGCAAACTCCCTGCACTGTACTCTCAGCTCAAGCTTGCCCAGGAAATGAAAGAGCATTGGACCCCAAACTTACTCTCAGGGACAGGAGTGTGTGGTCAGGCCTAATGGTTGGAGCCATGGAGGTAGCCAGGCCTGAAGATTAGAGTGTAGCCAAGCTGGAGTCAAGGATCAGGATTATAGGATACACTGGGGCCGTAGTTAAGAGCAGAGCTGATGGTCAGTGACAGGGATCAAAATCCGAATGCTAGAGCCAATGGGTGAGCCAGAGATATGGTCAGGAAGCCAGGGGTGCCCAGGATGGAGAAGGGCAGGGGCTGAAGCAGTCACAAGAGCAGGCTGGGTAGGAAGCAGGAACATGCTCAGCTGTGGACATGGAACACGTCGAGCACCCAGCGAGCTCTGTTGCTGTGTTAAATAATAGGTAGCTTCTCCCCTGCACCAATCAAGAAGCGCAATCAATCATGCAGCTTCCCCACTCCCCCGCCCCACTAGGATCAGCTGTGTCCAGTGTGTTGCTAGGACACTGACCATGCTGCAGCTGGCTCCCTTACACTTACACCCCTCACATTGTGTTGTTGCTAGCTGGTCAAAAGTGAATGTTTTCTTGCCAATATTGGAGTTCAGACTAGTATTGGTTCAAGGAGGGTTTAACTAGTCTGATACCAAGCACAGCTTGCCATAATTGTGGTCAAGTATCATGTCATTTAACTTACTTGTTCACAATTGTGTTCAAACCACAAGTATACCAGCCATAGGTGGTGATAGCCAACACATTTCTGTACGGTAAATTCATCCTCTTTTGACCGAGTCTGAACTGCTATTCTCACTATACATAAACACATCGTCACTCCATCTTTACTAGTAACATGTCTGTTACAAGAGTATATTTGCTTACCTGACGCTTTATCTCCACAAACAACACAATATTCTACTACTTGTGGTCGCTGGACATCAGCTTTACCCAACAAACGTTCCACTGAAGCAGAGTCTGTCACAATCTAAAACAAAATGCCAGAACAGTTAAGGTGTTGCTTTGATATATCACATCAAATCAAGCTCTAAAGAGATTTCATATTCAGATCAACTGATTGGCTTAGCATTGCTAACTCTTGCAGGTTAGTACTTGCAATAGAATTTGGCATCTAACCTGCCTAGGCACTTTTGTAAATCCCAGTAGGCACCTAAATACCTTTATAAATCTGCCCCTAAATTTAGTCTGGAAGCCTGGTTTAGGCAGAGCCCTGTTGCAGTTTGGAAAGACAGAGTCCAGTCTGGGAGTTTAGCTTAGGCAGAGGCCTGATTCAGAACTGAAAGATTTATTCCTGATTGGGGCTCATCTTAAGCAGAGACCTGCATTAGCCTTTAAAGATTCGGGGCTTGTCTACATAGAGAAGTTATTGCAGAATAAAGAAATTTAAGTGTAATAGCTATACTGGAATAACTTCCTCATATAGGTAATTTTATTCTGGAATAAGAGTGCCTTTTTCCAGTTTAGCTTAATCAACTTCCAAAGTGGATTAAACTAAATCAGAAAAAGGAATTTATATATTATAAATAATATGTGAGTTTTTTTCTGCTCCTCCCCTTTCACTGAATTTGAGCCTCTGATGCCATTCACATAGGTAGATCACTGTGTGACAATGCACTTCACCACAGGAGCAAATATTATCATTTGGATAGCTAACTGGTCACTTGGAGTTGTAAATCAGATAGCTAAACATCTAACTGCTAATACTCATACCTGCAATAAAGTGTAAGTACAAAAAAACAGAAGGTACAAATTTTGTGGACACAAATTTTGCTCACAAAAGGGAACACAGCCTTCTGAAAATATAGGCCTGTCTAGTTTTTTTTAAAGTTATTACTCCTCTTTTTAGACACCATAAACAAAGTATATCCACTAGTTTTGTAGTTCCTATGAAAATAGAGGGCCAGATCCTCAGTTGGCATAAATCAGCATTACTTTATTGACTTCAATGGAGCTATGCTGGTTTACAGCAGCTGAAGACTTGGCCCACAATGTTTTGTGCACCTCACATTAGCTCTATTTCATTCACACTCCTTTTAGAGCAGTGGTGGACAACCTGCAGCCCGCACATGGCCCGTCAGGGTAATCCGCTGGCAGGAGGTGAGACAGTTTGTTTACATTGACTGTCCGCAGGCATGGCCGCCCGCAGCTCCCAGTGGCCGTGGTTTGCCGTTCTCGGTCAATGGGAGCTGCGGAAAACGGCAGCCAGCATGTCCCTGCGGCTCGCGCCACTTCTCGCAGCTCCCATTGGCCAAGAACGGTGAACTGCGGCCACTGGGAGCTGCGGGCAGCCGTGCCTGCAGACGGTCAATGTAAACAAACTGTCTCACAGCCTGCCAGTGGATTACCCCGACGGGCCATGTGCAGCCCATGGGCCACAGGTTGCCCACTGCTGTTTTAGAACTTTGGGGATATCATTCAATGATGCAAACATACAAACAAGAATGCTTGGCAAGACAAAGTGCTATATGAAAGGAAGTTAAATAATGCAATAATATAAAATTCTGTTCCGTTCAAAATACAGAATGAAAATAGTCCATCCTTAACCCTTTGCATACCAATAAATCAGAGGCAGGATTAAACCTAAAAGAGAAGAAAAGGGAAGAGAGAGGAAAGGAAGGAAGTGGGGGAGTATAATCCAATAAACTCATAATTTTTTCATGGTATCAACAAAGAAGTTAATCCTGACAAAATTAATCTCACTGACAAAGTTTTTAAAAAGCTTTTAAAAAACAGTTTTAAATTAATTATGTTTATTAATTTAAAAAATTAAACTTCCAACCATATACAGGACTCAGGTTATACTAGCACAGTGCTTGGTTTTATTGGCTTTTATTAACTGGGGCATAGAATCAGTGTATTATAATATGTTACAGACCATTGTAGTACTGGAAAGAAACAAGGTCTCATCTTTAAATATTCACTTACAGTTCAAGTTAACTCCTAGGAATTGTTGTTTATTTTGGTACAATGTTTCCACTGTTTTTGTGCTGAATATAACATGATTATTTTTGTTTCTTTTATGGGTCTGTCTGTATTTTAATGCCCAAATCATCCCATTAAACACAGACACTAAATAAAATTATGATTCAAAACAAAAGGTTTTCGGCTTAAAAAATATGTACACAGGAAGTTTAGCTTTTAGAAAACTATCAAAACTTCTAGGGGTTTAGAGCTATTATACAATTAAATCTATTTAAATTAATAAGCGAAGGAGGATAGCCTGTTTTAATTATTGTATTTACCTGAATTCTGCCTGGTACAATGTTGTCAGTGGTGGTAAAGATAAGTTGCTTGGCATTAGATGTTTCAGGTGCTGCCAATATCACCTTTCCTGTTCCAGTTCCATCTGGACTGGCCAAGATAAACTGTTGCTTCGGAGACACTGATGAGTCCACTGCTGTAACTATCTGGATTTTCTGTCCTGTTTGCTGATCTGTCACAATCTGCAATAAATGTTGAAGGATTTTATAAGGCATAATATAAGATTTAACATTCTAAAATCTTTGGTTCTATCTCAGAATTATATCTTATTACCTGATAATGGCTCTTCACTGCCTTGCAATTTACATAGTCATTTATACTTGTGCAAAATAAGTGTAAATGATGACACAAAGTGCAAGGCAGTGGAATCAGGCCTTTATGTATACATAGTGCTTCTGCAGAGAAGGGTACTTGTGGAATGGGAAGTACTGGTGATATGAAAGGTGAGGAAGTAGCTGGACTATGGTAAATCACATTAAACAGGTCAAGAAGGAATCTCTCTAATATGTAAACAGTGAGGTAGTAAAATTTGCAGATGATACAAAATTACTAAAGATAGTTAAGACCCAGGCAGACTGTGAAGAGCTACAAAAGGATATCTCAAAAGTGGGTGACTGAGCAACAAAATGGCAGATGAAATTTAATGTTGATAAATGCAAAGTAATGCACATTGGAAAGCATAATCCCAACTATACATATAAAATGATGGAGTCTAAATAAGCTGTTACCACTCCAGAAAGAGATCTTGGAGTCATTGTGGATAGTTCTCTGAAAACATCCACTTAATGTGCAGCAGCAGTCAAAAAAGCGAACAAAATGCTCGGAATAATTAAGAAAGGGTTAGATAATAGGACAGAAAATATTATGTTGCCTCCATATAAATCCATCCATATAAATACTGTGTGCAGATGTGGTCACCCCATCTCAAAAAAGATATATTGGACTTGGAAAAGGTTCAGATAAGGGGTATGGAATGACTTCCGTATGAGGAGAGATTAATAAGACTGGGACTTTTCAGCTTGGAAAAGAGATGGCTAAGGGGAGATCTGACTGAGGTCTATAAAATCATGACTGGTATAGAGAAAATAGATAAGGAAGTGTTGTTTTCTACTTCTCATAATACAAGAACTAGGGGTCACCAAATTAAATTAATAGGCAGCAGGTTTTAAACAAATAAAAGGAAGTATTTCTTCACTCAACGCACAGTCAACTTGTGGAACTCCTTGCCAGAGGATGTTGTGAAGGCCAAGACCATAACAGGGTTCAAAAAAGAACTAGATAAATTCATGGAGGATAGGTCCATCAATGGCTATTAGCCAGGATGGGCAGGAATGGTGTCCCTGGCCTCTGTTTGCCAGAAGCTGGGATTGAGCAACAGGAGATGGATCACTTGATGATTACCTATTCTGTTCATTCCCTCTGGGGCACCTGGCATTGTCCTTTGTCGGAAGACAGGATACTGGGCTAGATGGACCTTTGGTCTGACCCAGTAGGGCCATTCTTATGTTCTTATGTGATCCGAATAGTATAAAATGAATACCAATGAAGTATAATGACCAAGGTTCTTATGTTCACCTAAGTGAAAAATATGTAATATATTGTACATGGCTATGTATGACCAAGCACATATCCAGTACACATACACAGAAAATCTAATCTGAGCTAATCATAAAGTTTCCTCACTTAAAGAATTAAAAGTGAAAGTAAAAATACTTTGGAAAACTATATGAGGTCAAACTCATCCATTCTGAAAAAGGGAAACGTATTAGTAAACTGTGAAACTAGCCTCTTCTGGTCAATACTAGAAACAGAGAGGCAAGGGGGTCAGGTAATATCTTTTTATTGGACCAACTTTTGCTGGTGAGAGAGACAAGTTTTCGAGCAAACACAACACTTCTTTGGGTCTGGGAAAGTACTCTGAGGTCTTGGCTACACTGGCGCTGTACAGTGCTGCAACTTGCTGTGCTCGGGGGGGTGCAAACGCCCCCCCCCCCCCGCGCAGCGAGTGCAGCGCTGTAAAGCGCCAGTGTAATCAGCGCCTGCAGCGCTGCACGCTTCCTCGCAGCGCTGCAAGCTCCCTCGCAGCGCTGCAAGCTACTCCCCTCGGAGAGGTGGAGTACTTGCAGCGCTGCGAGAGAGCTCTTGCAGCACTGGCGGCGCGACTACACTTGCAGCGCGGCAGCGCTGTGAATCCCCAAGTGTAGCCAAGGCCTGAGTGTCACAGCTAAATGCAAGGTGGAACAGATTGTTTAGCATAAGAAGTTAGCACATTTTCTAAGGGACCATTAGAGGTAGAGTGGCCCGTGAACACCTCTGCAGTCATAGGACAAAAAGAGGAGGTTAGTGGGCTAGAGATTGTTGTAATAAACCATGAATCAGTGTCTCTGTTGAGTCCATCATTTTTAGTGTCTAGCAGAGTTATGAATTTAAGCTCTCAGGCTTGTCTTTTGGTGTTATTCACACAATACTAGAGACAGAAAATTAAAAGCATTCCACCTCATGACTATAGTTGAGATTTCTTCTATTTTGGTTAAAAATAAATACCAATTTCAAAATATTTTGTGTGTGTGTAGTTAATTTACAGTTAAGGCTTCTATGCTAATCTGACCACTTGTATGAATAAAGTTTCGTAGCTCAGAACACATTATCAAATAAACATATTATCATCACCATTTAAAAAAAATCTAAGCATATGGAACAGCCAATTATGATAATTAAGGAGCTCACTAGGCAAAAGATCTCTGGGCTATCTTGCTGCTCCACAGAGCTCTTACTGGCCATCAGTGTTTTATATTGAAAATCTTAGCTGGTAGCATGAAGTCACACTGAAATCTTGTCTATGGGGTCAAGACTGATACCTCTATGATGTTGCCTGTAAATTTTTTACAGAGATGGGAATTGTTCTTTTCCCATTCCAGTATTCTCCCTCAGCATGGACTGATAGTTCCTTTAGAAGCAGTAGAGATATGAGGAACAAGATTAATTGTTCTGCCCACGTGGGCCAAAACTAAAGTTATGCTGGGAGGATCTGCACTATGAACTTCAGAATGTCCTAGTATTCTTCAGTCATACATGTTGAGGAAATATAAATTTTATGATGAGGTGGTGAAATATATACTGATATTGTAGATCTGCTAGATAAAAAAGGTTTTTTGCTATTGTTACTTAACCAGAAATATGTCTGCAAAGGAGAATCCTTCCATAGTGATAGAATCTAGAGAGTAAGACAGTGAAGAGGCATAAATTGTCTGAATTTTCCTTTCCTAGATTTAGAGGGAATATATAGGCAAAAACTGCAGGTAAAAAATATATATATATATACACACCACAGAACAACTCTCAGTGCCTATCTACAAATGACAATCATAGAATCACAGATTCTAGAAATGTAGGGCTGGAAGGGACCTTAAGAAGTCATCAAGTACTACCCTCTGCACTGGGGCAGGACCAAGTAAACCTAGACTATCCCTGACCTAGACTAGGTGTTTGTTCAACCTGTTCTGAAAAACTCCCAAAGATGGGGATTCCACAACCTCTCTTGGAAGCCTATTTCAGACCTTAACTACCCTTATACTTGGAAAGTTTTTCCTAATATCTAACCTACATATTCTTTGCTGCAGATAAAACCCATTATTTCTTGTCTTCCATCAGTGGACATGGAGAGCAATTGATCACAGTACTCTTTATAACAGCCTTTAACATATTTGAAGTCTGTCCTTCCATAGTCTTCTTTTCTCAAGACTAAATAATTGCCAGTTTTTTTAATGTTTCTAAACAGGTCAGGTTTTCTAAACTTTTTATCAGTTTTGTCGCTCTCCTCTAGACTGTCCCCAATTTCTCCACATCTTTCCTAAAACGTGGCAGCTAGAATTGGACATGTTACTCCAGCTGAGGCATCATCAGTGCTGAGTAGAACAGGACAATTACCTCCCATGTCTTACATACAACACTCTTGTTAATACTTCCCAGAATATTAGCCTTTTTCTCAAGTGCATCACATTGTTCACTTATACTCAATCTGTGATCCATTATAGTCTCCAGATCATTTTCATCAGTATTATCACATACCTAGTTCTTCCCTATTTTGTAATTGTGCATTTGACTTTTCCTTCCTAAGTGAAGTAATTTGCACTTGATCTTTATTGAATTTCATCTTGCTGAATGCATACCAATTCTCCATTTTGTAGAGGTCATTTTGAATTCTAATCACTGAAAGATATCTGGTACATTAAAAACAAGAACAGGAGTACTTGTGGCACCTTAGAGACTAACCAATTAAAAACAAGAGCTCACTATAGTTTTCAAACATATTGTACATTGCTATGTACTGGACAATAACTGAATGAGGTTTGCTTTCATAATAAGGGCCCCATTGACTGAGTTATTTAAATTAAAGATTTTACCTGAATGCGCTGTGGTGAAGCTACAGAAGAGTCTGTAGAGATAATTTGGATGCGTTGAGAGGGGCTGGTCATCACTGGAGATTCAGATAATGATGTCTGAACAGTCTGTACCTGTAAATAACAAGACAGAAATTTCACTTCATGTACTGTTATAACATAGTGGACATTTTTTATCTTAAACATTATACAACTCCATCATGGATTCTAGACTTATCAGAAAAGGTTTCAGTAGCTAAAACACACTAGTATCTGCTTCCACTGAATTGTCAGAGTACGTTTTTGTTGGCAAGAATGAATCTATTATACTACAGAACAATCACTGTATAATTAGAATTGGCAGAATTCAATTTTTATTTTTTATTATTTTGACGGATAATATCAATGTTTATTTTTAAGTATTTTTCTATTTGTATCTACTTTAATTTTCACAGTTGTGCAAAATTATGGATATTAAGCATTTTTTCAATTTTTATCTATTTACATTTTCACAGTTGCAGGAAATTATGGGCAGGTCAGACAATTATTTAATGACAATAGACGCTGAGAGTCAAAAAGTTAAAGCTGTATAACCACTAAAACAGAAATTGTCAACTTCATATGTCAACATATACAATGTAAAATAATACCCTTAAATCAAACTATTAAGTTGTCAAGCATCATTTTTCTTACTTTGTCTATCAGTAAGTTTCTATTAATATCAGTTTAAATATTTTTTCATCGGTTTGTATGTGTACGGTGTGAAATTGATAGTTACAGACAGTTACCAGTAAAAATCTAATCTTTCCAAGTCTAGGTATAATATTACTTGATCACGCTTCTCAGAAGAGGAATACAATTTAAACAGTGTGGTCACTATTACTGAAATGAAAAAAACATATCTTTTTTCAACTTCCAGTTATTTACTCAATAAATCTTTTTTTGCTTCTTTTTAAAATAAAGCTTTTCAACATATTAGTAATGATATTTTGTACTAATATATCACCTTTCATCTGAGGATCTTAAAATGTTTTATGAACAATGAAGTCCAAAATTTTCAGCCTTGTTTGCCAAAAATTAGACACCTTACTCAATACTCAGGCCCCTAACTAAAAGTGGCCTACTTTCCAGAGACCCGAGTGCCTGACTCTCCCATTGATTTCAGTGGGAATGGCTGAGTGCTCAGCATCTAATAAATTTAAGGCTTTTAGTTAGGTGCCTGAATATGGATTTAGATGCTTAATTTTAGGCAACCAAGTCTGAAAGTATTAGCTATGATCCTACAAGAACCCTTTGGAGATAGGCAAGTATTGTTACTTTTATTTTACAGATGGAGAAAGCTGGGCATACAGAGGTTAGTGACCTGCAGAGTACAGAGTTTTGAGACCACTGCTCTATCCACTAGACCAGGGGTTCTCAAACTGGGGGTCGGGACCCCTCAGGGGGTCACAAAGTTATTACATGGGAGGTCACGAGCTGTCAACCTCCACCCCAAACCCTGCTTTGCATCCAGCATTTATAATGGTGTTAAATATATTTGAAAGTGTTTTTAATTTATAAGGGGGGGTCGCACTCAGAGGCTTGCTATGTGAAAGGGGTCACCAGTACAAGTTTGAGAACCACTGCACTAGACCATGCTTTTAAAGCCACCATCTCCAGTGCTGGAGATGGAGAAGAAAGACCTTTCTGTCTCAGATTCCATTCCTCCATCCTACCTTTTGTTATGTAGCTCCAAAATATCCTTGGGAGCCAGGAGGTGTCTTGACTCTTAGCTTGGACCTAAATAAAAAGGTATTTAGCGGTAGAGGAGGAGGAGAATGTTCTGGGGCAGTCCACATGCCTTGAATCTGCCCAAATTGGCATTTATCCCTTTTATTTCCCTGATCTTATGTGGTCAATCCAAAGTCTCTCATAATATCTAGTTAAACTATGTAGCCTCCTTGGAATATGTGGCAGCCTCATTTTCCAAGCTGTTGTGAGAGCAATTTTCAACTGCAGTGAGTGTTATTTAGACATTTATTTACAGTACAGTAGTGTTTGGATAAGCAACTCTATAAAAATGGCTTAGTTAAGTTTGAATTTTATTGTTTGCTCAATATGTAAGTGTAAAAAGTTGGCTTTTTACTAATTATCGGTGCTGTAGACTTAGACCTACCTTCCTACATATCATCACCAGAAATTAATATTAGGCAGCAAATTTATCTCCTTAGTTACATGTTTAATTACTATTATCCTCAGTGAGAGTTTCACAGATGTAACTGAGGGTAAAAATTGACCCTCCAATTGGAATTCAGTTAACAATTCTGTTGGTGTGTGAAAACAAACAGATACCATCTCCCTCTACAATACCTGTCTGCATTGGCCCTGCTGCAGGACTAACAGGTGTAAAATGCAGCATAAGTCTATTTTTGTCACGTTAGTGACAAAGCAGATCTGACTCTGGATACATGCAGGAAGCAGATCAGTTTCATAACAAGTGCTATTTTTACAGTTAATTTTCAGAGCAGAAATTGATTTTAAATACAGTTGTTTGAGGCTGAAGGATGCCCCATGGATGCTTAGGAAGTGCAGCTTTCTCCATCCCTGGAAGACCCTGGATAAACTGGAATCAGACTCTAGGAATTTTGTGACCCTCAGAAGGATATGTAGGATTTAGGATGTTGGTGGCAGAATGTCCCATAGAAGACTTTGAGGGTGAGGGCTTTAACTCAAGTAAGAGTGAATGAAAGATGTTGGCTTGACAATCTTGAAGACTTCTATTAGTCCACAGAACTGACACAGCACAGGCAATGCAAATTTGCACATGTACAACTCGGTCAATTGTGATTAAACCCCAACCCGGTGGAACCATCACAACACGAAAGTTCAGTCTCCATGTCCTATTCAATCTTCACCCTTGTTGATGCAACTGCCAACAAGAGGAAACAATTAGTTCTGATTTTGATCGTTGGTTATTTGAGGTAGACACCTTCCCACAAGGAAACAGACTAAGGCTTCCAAATGGATTTCACAAAGGTCACTTAAGAGGCTATCTGATGGTAATGACTTTCAGTCACAATCAACTTACAGATAAAAGGTGCTGTATGCCATTACTAATCCCCAGAGCCATCCAACACTCTGTTTTTGTTAAGATTTGCTTCAGTTCTAGGGCCCCCCAGGGCCTTTTAAAAACCACCTTACTTAATCTTACTTGGCTCATTTATATCTAAATATAATTCCTCACTATTTGGAAGATGCTGTAGAAACATTTTCAAGCCTATTTGTGTTTAAGCCCAAATAAAGTTAACAACCATTGTGTAAACATTATATATACTGTATATAATGCAGGACCTGGCCCTACAAACCTTCCACACAAAAGATGCCATCTGAAATCAATGGGAATTCTACACTTGGATGGCTTGCAGGACTGAATCCCCTGGCTTACAGTTAGTGTAAAATATTTCAGGTTAAAATACTTTAAGTAAAAAATTTCAAAAATTCCTTTAGCTAGTTCCAAATTATAGAAAATTTTAGTACAAACATTACATACACTTATTTGTGCTGCATTTGCTAAAATTGGCTCTATTTTACATTTAAATTTTGCAGATCAATAATTCATGATGTGGACAAATGCCTTTGCCTATTATCAGAAAATTTAAAACAATGGTGATAATTTGATTAGAAAATCACATATCATGAATGTGCAACAATATTTTCCACAAAAAAATCTTACAATATCGTTAACATATAGATTTTATATAAATGTGAGGCCACTGCTTTCATATTAAAGATTGTAACAACTTCTCAGGATAAATTAATATAATTTTAATTAGTTAATAAATATTTACACAACAGAATGTAGTAGCTCCAGAGGTGTCATTACAATCTGTCAAATCAATAGTCTGCAACATGGTTACTTTTTTCAGTCACATGCTTTATTGAGAGTAAATTAATATTGTTATTGATTCATTTTATCTTTTTGTAGAAAAACTGACAATAGATTTTATATACACGGCATAATTTGAATAACTAATACTGTAGATTATTATTACAGGTGATACAAAATGATAATTTATTTTAAAAAATCCCTTTTAATATACAAATTAAACAGTCAGTTAGGGAACTCAGATACTAAGGTGATATGGGCCATAGAAATAGACAACCATAATAAGTGCCTCATACTTAACTTAAATAATAAGGGTTACAGAAGATCCAGTTTCTGCCATATCTATTTATTTTAAACCAATGAGGCACAAATTGGCCACAACTCTGCCCTTCTGATAGCTGTTCTTTCATCTTAATTAATTAAAAGCTTGGGATTCTTAGTTAAGTCTATCCCGATATTAAATGACACCTGTCACAAACATTATCACATAGATTTTGAATTGTTGATTAACTCAGAATCATATGTCAGTCCGTCCCTTCTTCTAATAAAATTCTATAAATTATGGGGTTTCTTAGGGTACGTCTTCACTACCCGCTGTATCGGCGGGTAGCAATCGATTTATCCGGGATCGATATATCGCGTCTAGTTAAGACACGATATATCGATCCCCGAACGTGCTCACCGTCGACTCCAGAACTCCACCAGAGCGAGCAGCAGTAGCGCAGTCGACGGGGGAGCCGCGGCCGTCGATCCTGCGCCATCTGGACCCCAGGTAATTCGATCCAAGATACTTCGACTTCAGCTACGCTATTCGCGTAGCTGAAGTTGCGTATCTTGGATCGACCCCTCCCCCCCCCCAGTGTAGACCAGCCCTTAAACAGTCTTTAAACACACATTTATATTGTCCTGATGTAAGAGTCTGTAATGCTGTATTTACAGTGCATGACTGACCCTAACGGCTTCATATTAGCAATGCTGAGTGGAAATGTCTTTTCTGGAAATCCTCAAGAGAATAATTAAACACTAATTTTGTAGTTTTGGGACTTGTTCTTGGATTCACTATCTCCCTGAATGATCTTACTTGGAGATAAAACCATTGATTTTCCAAATTGAAGTATATGAATCTATTCAATTTAAGTGATGACGACAGGTCCAAAAACATCAAGCTTACAAATTTTACCAAGCAATCCCAGAAGTACCTGTTGATCAAAGTTTGCATTGCTGGAGAACAGTTAACTAGGCACCTAGTCATAAACTAAGTTTGTATAGA